TTTCAATGTTTAATATTCACTAAAAGCTGTCTAAATCATAAAAAATTCATATCTTGCAAAAGCTTTGGTTTATAAGCCTAAAAGTGTCGCAGTGAATAGACAACATCTGTCTTCAACTGTGGTGAAAATTTCCGACTCCTAGCTGATCATGGTCTTGAGCTATTAATTAATTATTATTAATGGCATTTTCATTAATTAACTCATATCTCCGTCAAAAAGGCGCACGGACCCAACCCAACTTGGAGTTTTTCACTGTTGACTATTCCCTACATGATGAAAATAGTCTGAGTCGAAAAGCTTTTCATCACCTCGAGAGGTTCCCTCGTCAGTCATTTATTTTTTGAAAATCATCAGTCTCAGTCATATCTCAGTCTCGATAAAAAAAACCATCAGTCGTGACTCAGTCTCAGTCATGACTTAGACTTGACCAGCTTTCTTTCTTCTTTATTCTGATCGTAGTATTTAGCAAAAGTATTAGTATTAGGGGGGTTTTCACTGTTCACTATTCCTTACACGATGAAAATAGTCTGAGTAAAAAAGCTTTTAATCACCTCGAGAGATTCCCTCGTGAGCCTTGACTGAGAATGAAAAAATCGTGACTTGCCCATCTTTGGCTTATGCCAGAAGAGGACTCAAAAGCTTGATTAACTTGGAAACACTCGTTCAAAACTGAACAATAGGCATACTAACAAATAGATTCTCACAATGAATAGAAAAGGACTTTGTGAGTATGACCTAGGGACCTGCTTGATAAATAACGAAATGAGAAAATTTCGCGAATTTGTTTCGATTTCCTGCGCAACTATCTACCCACACTACCGGTACTTTTTATTCTTGAATTACAGGAAAAACAATGAAATACATTTTAATATGAAATAGTTAAAAGTATGAATGACAATAATACATATTTTACGTTTTTAGAAGAGTATTAATTCATTAGAATGGGTAATGGTTTATTTTCTGAAATTAGTGAAGTTGTTGAAAAGTCAGTTAGTCGTATTATTAATCAAATTGATCCATCGGTATTGAAATTTAAAAATAATAGTCTTGATATTATTAATACTGTCGAACAGCGGGTGTATTCTTATTTGGATAAGGCGGTGAACAATCTTTATACTAATTTATTTCTATGGCTATTTTTGACTGTTATATTTATATTGTTATTTGTTTTATTTTTAAATGTATTTAATCAATTATTAGAAAAATATCAATTTGATATTGAAGTACGAAAATGTTTGGCATTATTTATAACAACAATTGTAATTGTTTGGTTATTGGCAGCTGCTATTTTGAGTACACATTTGAAAGGTCGAATTGAATTATACACATTAAAATTAATATTTCTTACTGTACTATGTTTATTAACATTTGTAATGGTTATAGCATGGCTGAGATATATTTGTATATATCGTCAACATTTATGGCCATTTATAAGACGAAATTTTTGGCCAAATAGAAAAAATCGATTTGATGGATAATAAAATAGTAGGAGCACTTCAAGAAATGCTAATGCCAATAACCAATAATCATCATTAATTATTTTTATGATTTGAAATCAATATTGGAGAATATTCTTACATATCTAAATCATACATTTATCTGTAATATAAATACTGTTACTATATAATAAAAATGTTTTGCATAAATAAATCAGCTATGATACTTAAATGGTTACGCATCAGGTCTTTGAATTCGAAAGTGGTGAGGCAATTATTTACTTGCATAGGTCAGTAGAATAAGAAACAAAATTATGTTTCGTTTAAAGATTCACTTACTACCCAACAACCATTGGATGATTTTTTTAATTGTGTCAAAAAAGGAATATGATCCTAGACAAAATATTTTTGCAAATTCTTATGGAAATCTTATTCGAATCTTAGAATAATTTTATATAGAAAATGCTCGGAAAGTGCCAAGAATTTCGTAAGAGTCTTATAAGAGATTTGTAAGAAAGTGATAAGACTTCTCACGTTATTCTTATTTATCTTGATGTGTAGTAATGAGTGTACTAAATTGCTGTCCGATGGTGACTCATGTGAGTACTATACAAAAAGTTCTTTTTATGATAGCTTCTAGTGCTTTATCAGGACAGGTATGTAAAGGATTTTGTTGCATATTACTAGTACTCGAGCTGTTCTATCTTCTTCCACGTAGAGAGTCCAAATTGAATACCACCTTTATAAAGGAAAAAAGATCTAAAGCTTCGTATTTCGCTTAAGATCAGTTTGAAAAAGTGGAATTTATGCAAACATGCGAGATATCGTGCTCTCTTGTAATTTAATTTTTTCGAACTTTATTCTCGTCCTGCAGTAAAGAGTACAGCCAATCTACAGGCAGTAAAGGCTTAGAACGAGGCGTAAAGCTACCACTCTAGAATCAAGGTATCATCATTGACTAGCAGGGATACTCTGATAATATTCCAATTAAGTTTCATTTGACGAATGGTGGACACTACATCTTGCTCAATGAAGTAGTCAAAAATACGATCCACTGTGTACTGCCTGGTCCTCTCTCGACCAGAACCTTTGCCATCACTTCCCCCAGCCTGGGATGGGCGAGTCAGTTTCTCGAGTCACTTAAAGAATGTTATAGAATCTTTTACTGCTAAAGTGTTTCGAGCTATATTTAGGGGCGTTTAATTAAGATTTTTTCTGGCTACTAAATGATATATTGTGAGAAACTTTGGTGCCTTCACAGGCTGGACCAAATCCCTAAAATACAGTTGGCTTAAAAAAATCATTTAAACTTTTGTAAAAGTTCGAGTCACTTGCATTTTAGGAGCTTGGTTCAGTCTGTGAGGGTATTATCATTATATATCATTTTGTAGGCAGAACAAATCTGAATTAAACGCCACTAAATGTGGCTCGAAACTCTTTAGTAGTAAAAAATTTTATAAAATTCTTTAAGTGGCTCGAGAAAACTCGCCCATCTCTGCACCCAGCAGAAACATGGTCCGTCCAGTTTTGCTCATGTTTTATCTTTCCTTTTATTAACGCGTTTGGACTGCTGGCACAAACAAAATATTATGTGCATAAGTTCAAAAACAGCTTTTTTCATTTCTGGCTGATTACTTCCTGTAGGAAGTGTTACCAGTTTCCACCAAAAGTTTACGCCCTCTCCGATTAAAACCAGTCGACATACTGATTCTGAAGAATACATTCTCTTGATAAAGAGCGCAGTTTCTGTAACGACAGAAAAGTAGGGAAAGAATGCACTTTTATCTATCAGAATGCTTTGTCATGTACTCAGTGGTAGGTATGCACCAATTCTTAACTGATGTTGGGGCATCCGGGAGAATTGCTATACATCAGTTATCACGATTTACTCAGAGCTATGAAAAGTCTCATTTTGTAGAAAAATGTTTACTCTACAAAATGCATTTGTTAAAACAATTCCGAAATGATTTCTAAGAAAACGTAGAGCATTTTAAAATGCACCAAATTACGGAAAAAAAACTGTTCGAACAGTTTTTTTCCTTGATTTAATGTATTTTTGAATGATCTACGTTTTCTTAGAAATCATTTCGGAATTGTTTTAACAAATGCATTTTGTAGAGCAAACATTTTCTACAAAATGAGACTTTTCATAGCTCTGAGTAAATCGTGATAATTGATGTATAGCAATTCTCCCGGATACCCCAAAACCAGTTAAAAACTGGTGCATACCTACTCAGTGGTCAGTTGAAACATGGTGGAATACGTCATAGAACATGCTATCAAAGCAGTAATAACGCGTTCCAAATAGTGAAAAGAAGAATCTATCATGAGTATCAGATAGATCCTGTAGTTAGAGTCTTTTTCTTCTCTTGATTTCATGCAAATGAATGAAATAAAATAATTACTCAAGTGTGGATGTTTGTATATCGTATAAATTCCTTAGTGTCTGCCGAGGCATTCAATATGGCTCGAAACGAGCGTAAAAATCGATTTATGACACCGTAATCATATGCTTCGTAATACTGTCGCCGTAAAGGAGTGTATACGGGTCGATTATGACCATAAACGGTCTTATAAAAGGTTGTTTACGGCTGAATTGTTATGGAGCATAGGATTACGACCAAATTACGTCAAGTTATGGTATGTTAAATTATAGTACATGATCGTAATTCGCTGTATATGGCCACTATAACCAATGACCTGGATAATCAAACTAAAACTTCGTGTAGTTTCATGAATTGAATTCATGAATATAAGCAATATGTTAAAGTATGATGAGTACATGATGAGTAACAGATGTTACCTTGAGAAAAAAGAAAAAAACGTTATGTGGATGATGATGCTGCTTCTCTCTAGAAAAAGAACTTGTTATCTAAATTTACCTGCATACGTAATAATATAAAATTCTTTGTTTCTACAGTGTATACTTGCTTATTTTTCGTTTTAAGAGTAAATTTGTATCAAAGATCAACATATATAATCCAAATTTTCAATGGTAATTTCATGCTCACATTTCAGAACAATCATATGATATAATAGATTTTTCTTTCAGGCAACTACCACAAGACCATCTGAACAGAAGAAAGAACACTTGTTCAAAGTATTAGTGATTGGAGAACTAGCAACTGGTAAAACTGCTGTTGTCAAACGTTATGTACACAATTTTTTTTCCGAACATTATAGAGCAACTGTAAGTTGAATTTATATAAAAAATATTTTGAGTTAATAAATTCGATAAAATTTGCAGATTGGTGTTGATTTTGCATTGAAAATTGTTAAATATGCTGATGATACAGTGATTAGACTACAATTATGGGTATGTACACTGTTATTTTGTACTTTTTAACATTAATGAAAACAAACGTATTTTCTACATTTAGGATATTGCAGGTAATAAAAATATTCTTATAACCATTTTAGTACTACCATTTTATTCATGAATTATATAGGACAAGAGAGATTTGGTAATATGACTCGAGTATACTATAAAGAAGCTGTTGGATGTTTAATTGTATTTGATGTTACACGTGCCTCTACATTTGATGCTGTTATGAAATGGAAAAATGATTTAGATATCAAAGTACAATTACCAGATGGAAATCCAGTGCCATGCGTTCTGTTAGCAAATAAAGTAATTGCATCCTATCGTGTTTAACTCATTGATATAAATATTTTTCGATTCATTTGTGTAGTGCGATTTAGCAAAAGAAGGTCTTGTTAATAACACTACTCAAATGGATGAATTTTGTCGTGAAAAAGGATTTTGTAAATGGTTTGAAACATCAGCCAAAGAGAATGTTAATATTGAAGCAGCAGCAAATTATCTACTTGGAGAAGTAAGTACAGTTTTCAAAACATACAAAAAAGAATCATATTTTACCATGCCCTAATCACCGTTTCGTCTGTTCTTCTAGATAATGAAACATACGGAACAAATTCAACAAAAACCACAAAGGTCAAGTGATGCAATCACTGTTGACCAAGAGCCAAAAACAAATAGCAAAAAAGGTTGTTGCTCATAGACTACAGACTATTGACGATATAAACTTGGCGAAAATGTGGAGACGTCATTCTTTTGTTATTCACTTTGTATCTAATTGAGTTTCTTAGATTTTGAATAAAACTATAAAAAATCCGCACTTAGCGACTCCACTAGATTATCATGGTTAGCATCATAACAGTCATCAAAATTGATTTGAAAATCGACTATCGTATGCACTATTTCAAAATGAATTTCTGTGTAAATCAACTGTAATTTTATTTTGAACGATATTCAAATGAAAGTATTTTGGTCAGATGCGTGTCGTCGACGTACATCCTCTGTTCTGACACTAATGTTTGGCTTGGATAAATGAAAGAAACTTGAATATGATTTCGCTTCCACTTTTCATGTTCTTCGACAAAACTATCGTTAACGGCATACTGATTGCTTAGACTTTAGAATATACACACATCAAAGAAGAAATTTTTGAATATGTCACTAAATAAAAAAGTAATTATTATTCAGTACACTAGCGCCACCTACAGCGGATGCTTTTCAACGGTAGACCACATAGTGATCGATTATTCTGACATTAAACTTGTACGAACTTTATCATATTCAATTAAAGGTAAAGATTGCAAAGCACATGTCTGAGACGATACAAATGTGATAGTGATGTTACTAAATTATGTTGTTGGTAATTGTCATGGTAACTGTTTACCACTGATATGTTATCTCCAATAGAGAGGATGACTGAAAAATGACAAAAATAAAAAGTTGAACAAAGAAAAAAGTAAGATTTCATTGCCTAGAGTTTTATCGCATTCTTTATCTAGTTTTCTGTAATGGATACTCTTCAGGGTTTGACTAACAGCTTACAAATTAAAACTATTCTTTTCTAATAACGTCTGCATGGAATGTAATTTGTGATTTTGTATCATTGCACTTATATGTTGAACACAACTACCGCCAACGCATAACGTTGTAAAATGGAAATTGGTCAATGAAAGTTTTTTACATACATTTGAACGGATTCAATAATTGCACGGCTTTGAATGCCTTACCATCTAAAGCATTTGAACGCATTAAATGAACTCGAATTTTGTGCGAAGGAATTAGATGGACGAAATTATTTTTTAAGGTATTCTAGTGTGTGAACTTACTAATGCCTCTAAAGATTATGCAGAGAAAAAACTTGCAAGCTATTTAATTTACTCATCTTGCCTAAAAATGTTCGAGAGAAGTTTTTATGCAATCTAGTCGAGAGAAGTTACATGCAATCTATAGCTTCCGTATAACTTATCCTTATTGATTAGTTTTCATTCTAGAGAGAGCCGCCTTGAAGTTGAAACTTGTACCTTTTGGTGTTCTCGAATCAAAGAAGTTGGTATTCTGCATAAGAAACAAGATTTATTGAGGAAAAAACTAAATGACCCAATGAATTTTTGTTTTAACCCTTGACATATGTTCTCATGTTGGAGCACCCGGGAAAATTTCTATACATCAGGTATCAAGATTCGCTCATAGCTGTGGAAGGTCTTATTTTGTAGAAAAATGTTTGCGCTACCAAAGTGGCGCCAGAGAGCGGTTCTAACACGGCTGGAAATCGTAAATATAACACCATGGTTGTTATCGGGTTCGTGCGGACCCACACTCCAGTTTTTTGTTTGTGAGACTTATTCCCGAAACTTGATATAGGTAGTGTATATGGATAGAAGACTGATGATTAGGAAAGAGAGCAGCTCGTAAGAGATGGATACTGCCGAAAAAGACAAGAAAACTTCACAGTGGATCCAACTGGACCCCCAAACAGTTATCAAGGGTTAAAGCAAAAATTTCTATTGTACACGTTAGCTATTTTTTAACTCATTTAAGAGCATTAAACATTGATAAACGCACATGCGTTAACTGACTTAAAATGAGAGTTCTGATGCGTTGATATGCGTTAAATTCAGCATAGCAAAAGTAAACGAAAAAGTTCGAATCTACTAAAAAATCATTAATGGCTAAAAACGAATCAAAATAGATTGTTTAATACATTAGCCTAATGAAAACGCCTAAAAAACGCGTTTTAGTCTCATATTAGATTATTTTAATGCAGTAACCCTTTGCCTGCCAAGGAATCACCCATGACCCATTCTAAAATTATAATAAAAAGGTAATGAAGCACCAAAAAGTGATGGAAAACAAAATCTTTGTTTATTTATCGATAGCTTATGGACTTGCTCTCAAAAGCAATCCATTTTTTATCACATGCGTCATTATCTTTTTACAACAATCCTATGAATCAGTCGTGGGTGATTCCTTGGTAGGTAAAGGATTAAGCGCGTTATAATGAAATTAACAAAAACCTTTATTAACGCGTTTTGATGATATTTTACTTTTAAGATCTTATATTAAAAAAAACAAAAAAAACAAAAATGATATAGCCTTAAGGCCCCCGGATCAGAAACCTATCTCAGTCCAGGCAGGTCCGATCTGAGCCAAACTTCCAGGAAATGTTGACCATGTCAAAGTGTGGTAACGAAATCTTTTCTTGACTTCACTTGCAACTGCGGCGTCCGCATTTTCATGTGCAGATATGTTCTTGAAAGATTATCTAGATGCACTTGCTAGACATCGTCCTCTAGGTGTAAAAGATGAATGTATCAGTGCTGAAAAACAGAATTTAATTCAAAATAATCCTGTTTTAGCTGCGAGACTTTTTGATCACCGATTAAGAGCTTTTTTACGCTTATTCATATGTAATGGCGCAACTTTAGGTGCAGTTCAAGATTTTTTTATGCGTTTGGAAGCTCAATTGAGAGATACTTTGCACTCCCATATGCCTCTTTGGATTAAAAATGCTCCTAGGTACTACGGCACGCAAACTGATGAAAAAACTAGAAAAGAAATTTATGATTTTTATGATAAATATATAACTAACCATTGTCGTGCAGAGGAAGAGGATCTAGAAATACACTAGTTGATAAAGAAAGTGTGGAGTCAAAAGCAATGAGGATGACAAAGTGAATTTTTTTTGTATTTTCTTTTTGATAAAAATAGTTTAAGAATTCATATTGTAATAAAACAGGAGCTACAAGCTCGTTTTCACTTCATTCTATGTATTATATAATTCGACAAAAATATAAACAGACACTAAATAAGCAGTAAAGGACTGTAGGACAAAGGTGAGTATGTGCGTAGATATCAGTTAACTATTAAGGGTATTCCCTCCCCCCCCTCTTTTTTTACCCTCTTGGAAACTAGGGAAGCCGATGTCGGATCAGGTTCTAACTTATACCAGAGATAGAACACCGAAAAAGAAAATCGAAGTATTTTTGCCCAGAGTTTTCTGACGTGTTCTTCTATCCCTAGTAAAAATCTTATACACTTCTTAACATTATCTTACTAAGATCTTATCCTTTAAGATTTTGATAAGATAATTTACGATCTTATCGTTTAAGAGCTTGATTAGATTTAATAACTCTGCTTTCATTCACCCTTTTGTTTTGCTCTCATTCATCTATATAAATGATCCAAAATATGACTGATTATACGCTTATTGTTCTTCCTGACTCTGCTGGTATTTGCGCTCTCGAAAGTATTCAACAACTTTTCAGAGAGTGTACATGCAGGTCAAGGTTCATAGTTGGACACCTGAAAATATGAAATTTCTCTTCATTCTTCAACTTGGATAATGCGGATTAAAACTTGAAAAATTTTCAGTGAATCTCCGATGAACATTATTTAAAAAACGTTATCGTTCTTGCTATTAAGATCCTAATATATTCTTTTCCAATCTCGAAAAAGTCTTAGACAGTACAATCTCAGTAAGATTTCGTTTACATTTGTCGAAGGTCTTAGAAAAATCTTATCAAATCTTAGAATTTTCGGATCTCACGATTTTAGTAAGATTTGTTTAAGATCTTAGATAAATGTAAGCGAAATCTTATTAAGATCTTAACACGATTTTTCTAAGATCTTATTAAGATTTTAGTAAGTTTTTGACTAGGGATGGGTTTCCTGGAAAACTCCAGTTTTCATTGGCACACACTACAACCCCTCGAAAAAACGGGGGTTTCTCTCGAGATATCCGAAAAATACTGAAAATCCCATATAAAAAACCGGTTTTTATTTTGAAAACCTTCTCACGCCGACAGTTGAAGTTAAAAATGCATCGTTATGTTTCGGTTAACTTTTGATTACAATGTAATGATTCAGTCATTGAGCAAGTGTAAGAAAAATAATCAATTTATCCAAGAACCATTAACATTGAATGATAATAAAACAGTTATTTTTTTTCATATCATTTGTGTGCATGTGCTTCGTTCTAAACGCCTTTTCCTCCACAGTCACAGTTGAATAACCGTGTTTTGTATACTGACAATAAACTAAATATCAACGGTTATTAATAACTATATAATAGAAAAAATATAAACTCTTTTTTTATTAAACGTAGTATTTTCTTTTTCATGGACAACAGTCTCATTAAAACATCACACTTTATTTAAGAGTCTTCCTCCCCGCCCTCTTTTTTCATCCCGGTGCCAAATGCGGAGCACACATCCGATCGAGGTCAAAGTTATACCAGAAATAGAAGAACGAAAAAGGAAATCGATCTATTTTTGCGCAGAATTTTGTGACATGATCTTCTATGAGTTTTCTGGAAAACTCTAGTTTTCATCCAGTTACATTATGATCCTCGAGGAAATGGTCCGATCGAGTCGAAATTTTTACCACAGATACTCCAGATCTTATCTTAAGTTTCAAATTTTTTTTTCGAAGGATATGCTTTCCTTCTCGAGATATATGAAAAATGCTAAAAGATCAGGCAAAAAAGTCAGTTTTTTTCAGTGATTTTCAGCATTTTTCATATATCTCGAGAAGGAAAGCATATCTTTCAAAAAAAAAGCTGTGGAATCTGAGATGGGATCTGAAGTATCCATGGTGAAAATTTCGACTTGGTCAAACCATTTCTTTGAGGTTCATAATGTAACTGGATGAAAACTAGAGTTTTCCAGAAAACCCATAGAAGATCATGTCACAAAATTCCCTTAAGTGTAGCTGTTTTTCCTCTTCTCTTGTTAATTTAGCATACTGATATCATTACCATCTTTTTCATGTCGCAGTATCCACAACCTAAACCGTCTCCATTGACAAGAGCGAAACGAACAGATCTAAGTTCACCCGATTTTAATTACTCATCGGAGTCGTTATCTGATGAAGCCCATGCACCAGCACCCACCATAAATCCTCTACCAAATATCTCAGCTGATACAAAGAAAAGCAAAGAAAAAAAAGCGTCAGTATCTGAATCGGACGAACAATCTGCTGCTATAACAACGCCGACAAAGAAAAAAGAATTATTATTGAACTATGTTAATGGTGTTTTGTCAAAATATAATAAACACCATAAATCGAATGGTAGTCCACGAGGTGATAGTAGAGTACGAATAGATCCTAAACAGATTAAAGTTGGACAAGATGGCCGTGATTATGGAAGTCAGTCAGCGTTTGATCATTATTATTTAAATGAACCAACGAAAATTGATGAAAACGATTTCGATGCAGATGAAGAACACCGAACAACTCCTATCATGCACGTAAGAAAATGACATTTGATATCGTAAGATGGAGTTAAATGAGTACACTAGACAACAATCTTAGCTCTGTTACTTGTCATAAAAAAATGTATCAAAATTTATCTATTTCAACACTGGAAGCTGTTTATTTTTTGTATGAATATTCTTTTACTAAGTAATATACTACTTTAAAAATAGTCAGATCATAGAAAAAAAATTGTTTTGAATCAATTTAAAGGGCAGCTACTTCATTCAACCTAAGAGTCAAAAGTGACGGGTTAGACAGAAAATCCGATCTTGATTTTCTTTTCCATTTTTGTAGAATCTGTCTAATGGCCAACCAGAAGTGACTTTTGATCCTGATCCAGTTGTCGAAAAACGTGCAAGTAAAGATCAAACATATAAACAACGTGTCTATTTGCGACAATTACAACCTCCTACACCGACTCCAATCGAAGTTCAAATACAAGAAGTTCTCATTAAATCTGAAGTACAACTTCCTCCAATACATGTACGAATAGCAGCACGTGAACCGCGAACACCATCACCCATTCTAATCAAGAGTGATCCACCTCGAGCACCATTGTCTAAACCAGAACAGGATGTTATCTTTACTAAATACGTACCTGGTCCAAAATCGACACCGCAACAGGTAAAATATTTAAGCTAATATTGAATACTACTACCGTTCGTTATTTGTTTAAGATTATTATTCATCGGTATCCCGATATGCCACCAAAACCAAGTATGTCTCACCAGAACTAGCTTTATTGTGTAAATACTGAGAGAAGTTTGTTTAGTGTGAAAATACTTTTTATTCATTTTATGAGCAAGAAAGAGCGATGATACAGTTTTTGATCGTGCATAGTGGATAGGAACTCTTATAATAGACGATGAGTAAAAATATATCTCATCTGTTACTATAACTTCGACTCAAGTCGAACCCGTTGAGTTCAATGAGTCATTGAAGACATTGTATATCTTGCAATTATTGCTATTCGCAGGAGTTCTACAAAAGGAGATACAAAAAATACACTTAGAAGCAATAATTTGATAGACGAATACTAAACATGATTTCTTAAACGCGTTTTCTTCTCTTTGAAAGAACCTATTATTGTTGAACAATGGTTACCTTATAAACCAGCAGCAAAACGTATTATTAATCGTTTGTTACCACGCGAAACATTAGTATCCCCGCCACGCCCTCGAAATATAATCATATCCTACTCCAAACCACATGTTATAATCGAACTTGAATTGATTCGTCTTCCCGTGGTCACAATTGACCCACATGAATATCAACAAACGACAAATCTATTCGATTATCGATCAATAGTAAATGCTAAATCAACATCAGACGATCTCCGTTGGCGCATATGAGCAGAAGGACGACTGTGTAATATTTGTTTTATTGGCTTTTTTCTGTTAGTCTATTATTTTGTTAGAATAAGGAATCTTCCGATCATTTTTCAAATTAGACTATATAACACTCTCAATGTAACTTCATCTTGAACTAATTACATACCACATACGTACTTGAAAAGCTGAAGCAAATTCACAATACGTCATGCCCACATATTTTCTATGAAATTACTTTTCGAACTTACTCTCACACTGCTCTCACCCACACCACCGAACGCCCATCACATACATTACCAAAAATTCTCAAATTTTTATTATGAAAAATTTGTGGAAGGCTCAGTGTCCTGTTTGCGAAAGAGTCTGTTCGCGGAATAGTCGTGTCACAATAATTGACACCTTCTAACACAGTGGTAAGGTAGAAGGTAACAATAGCGGCTGGGTGATACTACCGAAGGTGGCAATAGCTATTCTAATTATTAGACTCTTCTACAGCCCATAAGAGAAAAGGCAAAATAACTTCAATGAGCGCGAAATAAACACAACAGAGGAAAATAATACTAAGGTGTATGGGCGGAAGTAGATATTACCGTCAAGAAAAAGAAGTAGATATTACCATTTTGAAAAAGAAAACGATCCGGAAATATTTACGTCTCATTGAAAGCAGAGAAAAGCCTAATTTGTTCACTAGATCAGATCCTGCACTATTAAAATCCCGTATGATCATATGTGCCGCTATGGGTATTTTTTTGCAAAGTCGCTATCATATAATGATACATGGCTCCAAGAGGTTGTCTACAAGACAAAGTGAAGTCTTCTACAAGCTGAATCACCTCAAGTTGTAACTTATCTCCAGACCTTTCAAGGTTAAATGCATAGCTCGATTCATTAGCGTTCCTTGACTTAAAGTAAAGTGGTAATTGTCGGCTTTTTGTGGACTATTGGAGACAAACATCCAAGAGCATTTCGAGATGTTGAGTGACATTAAGTTGCCTAAACACCAATTATTAATGCGATCTATGTTAGCCTGGCAGTTGGAGAGCGAATGTGAGACAGAAATGGGACAAGTCAACGTGCAGTCTTCAGCCACATGTGTTGGCGCCAGACTGAGATTGCTCCGAACTCTGTATCATTTCGATTGAGCATACGGACTAGTTCAATAATTCTACAACAGAATTCACGTACGAGGATCATCTCTGTCCCATTAGTAGCACGAGTTACAGCTCTCTAAAAGTCGCCTTTTACAACATATTGTTTCAGTTATACTTATCCAATTATAGTTGACAAAGCAAAAAAATACTAAAGCAAAATTATTATTTTAGTCCAGAATATGATAAACAGCTTGAGGATCAGAGAGAGGGAGAAATCCTACTGTTTTCTAATTCCAAAGTTCTTTAATTATCATACAACCTAAATCTGTTTGACAAGCAGAACTAACTTATGTATAAAGGTAAATCCATCGTATTACTGAACGCAATAGCTTTTAACTCTTTGAACTTTAAATCAACCTGATAAAAAAATCCTGAAATCTGTTAAAAAAAGTTCATTTCTGCACTTTTGCCATGCTTGCAGAAGCAGATTGAATCAAGAAAAGCTACTTCTGTAACTGATTACGCTTTTCTCAATAGTCAGCTTCTCTCTTAACACTCACGACAAGATTATTCCTGCAGACTTTTTAGAGAGTGTATATGCAGGTCAACGTCCATAGCTGGATACCCAAAAATATGAAATTTCTCTTCATTCTTCAACACTGTTCAACTGCTGTTTTGGATGATGCGCATTAAAAACTGAAAAATTTTCAGCGAATCTCGAATAAATATTATTTAGAAAACATCAGCATACTTACCATTAAAATCCTAACAGATTCTTATCCAATCTTGAAAAAATCTTATTAAGATCTTAGTAAGATTTCGCTTACATTTGTCTAACGAGGAAACATTCCCAGCTGTCTAACCCCGATTTCTTTCAAACATACATCAATCGATAGCTTCGAGATAGTAAAAGGCCTAAAAGGATTTATCCCCACGGCTCTTGAAGATCCGGTTTTCTGGAAAACTAGTTTTCCAGAAACTCTAAAAGAATAATCAAAACGTTTCTTAATAAGGCATGATTGTAGCCCGGAAATTCGGATTAAAATGAGACGTCTCTCAGCTCTATATGGCCTTTCTTTGTAAAGTTATAGAGTTTACAAGAAAAGCTCTAAATGTTCATTAGCTATAGAAATAAGACGAAATCAATTTAGGGCTTTCTTATAAAGTCTATAACTTTACAAAGAAAGGTCATATAGAGCTGGGAGACATCTCGTTTTAATCCGAAATTTTCGGGCTACAATCATTTCTTATTAAGAAACATTTTAGTTATTTTTTTAGAGTTTCTGGAAAACTAGTTTTCCAGAAAACCGGGTCTTCAAGAGCCGTGGGGATAAATCCTTTTAGGCTTCTAGTCGATTCTAATTTCTGACAATAGTATTGATATCTTAATAGAGAGTGGAATTCTACACACCAATGACTTAATTCAGCGTAAGATTATGATACTGTTGTTTACGAATGGTGTGTTCCTGGTTTGCTCAACTTGACGAAGGTGCAAAGGAATATAATCAAATTCTAGTGGAGGTTTTTTATGCATGTATTATCAAAGGGAAAAATCAAATTGTTTTATTCAAAGGTGAGAACCAATTCGGAAAATACTGGTCAGTTTTACAATTATTATCTATAGCGGTTGGATCTTGATGTGATTTCACATCATGGATTACTTTTGCTTGCACCAGAAAACCTGCCCACCATCCGAATGTACCAGCAGTGATAACGACATGTTTACACGATGATAATATAGCAAGATCTTCGCCTGCTGAGAATGTTTGTGGTGTAATGAATACATTCGAAATATTACCAAAATGTTTCTGACAATAAGGTTTATCATCACTTCCGATAATAAACATCGTTTGATTCAAATATTTTTTATTGAAATAAATCATCGATTCCAGAATATAATCGTTAGAGGATACTCTTCGAACAGACAGAAAATCACCTCGTCGAATGTGAATACCAATCAATGTTACATTTGATGAATTAGTCTGATATGGTCTTAAGTTTGAACTCGCAATTTTTTGCTTGATTTCCGGTTTAAAAGTAAATTGACCTCGTATTTCGTCGATGTAATTATCAAAATATTTGTATGATTGCCAAAAACCTTTTAATTCAAGATAGTTGAATACTGCCAAAACATTAGGTTTCATCAGATCAGAGTAAAATGTACATGCATTATGCCACTGTATCAATTTTTCCAATGTGTTCGGTTCAATGTTCGTTTGACATAGATTAATTTGAAAATACAAACGAAGCTCATTAATAATTCGTGGATCAACGTACAGACGACAACTGTGCATACGAGCCAAACCATAAGCACTAGCAAACAGAAACATTCTATTACCTAACCGTCCAACTACATCACGTATAATAATAACACATGTGAAATTAGCATCGCACAACGACTTATTACTGCTCTCGCGTGAAATAATGCGACTATTATTTATTAGCACTTTGACATTTATCTTGCTATCACTGAAATTCATCCGGAAAATTAGAATTAATTCCGCAAATATGGTAAGAGTTATTAACAGTCGATTTATCCTTACGATAAATCGAGACATTCCGAAGATTATCTAAAAATTTGATCATATCATTGAATATACCATCATTATGGTTTGAATTATTCGAAAATCATTTGTACATATGTGGCTGTTGCTCACATGTAGTCGCGTAACAGCGTGTGATGACGATCTAGTAAATAAAAGAGTAGATAAAGAGTACACTTGTTTTTGAAAATCAAGAATTTTCCTTTTTCATTGAATGCGAAGAAGTAAACACAACTGCAAACGGATAAGTTAAGATTGCGACAATTCACGTAGTTTTTATTTCCTTGAAAAAGTATCATGTTGCTTACTATATGCATGAATGCAGTCAAGTGTATAAAGAATACTTGAAATACGAAGGAAAAACAAACAGGTAATCTAAATTTCTTCATGAGACACCTCTTTTTCTAATTTGAATATGTTACCCTCATTCTTTATTAGCTCATCCTATGCCTATATAGATTAAAAGAAAACAAGCATCAGTGAATTCGGGACGAACTGCAACAAAAAAGGGCTGCTGAAGGTTGTGAACCAATATGCTAATGTAATATTATAACAATATCCGGCATAATCGTTCGCGTATGCTATAAACGTCCATGACTGATTATCCATGCAAAAATTAGGTGTGCTGGGACATATGAAATTACTACTCGTTTCACCGTTAAATGCTATCGCTTGCATTTTGAATAAGCCGAGAGCGAAAAATGTAAAGAACTTGTAGTTGTTACCAGGTCACTCTCCGGCTTTTTGCTCATACTACAACGCTAACATTTTTGAATTTTTATCTTAGGATGGCACCATTTGTACTCTTTCTAAGACTTGGCAGATTCTGACTCAATTCTGCTAGAATTACGTGAAAATGGTGTGTGACGGATGTTGCAGCATAAGAATGAGAGGGGAGTATACGAATTCTGCTAAAGTAATTCCATCTCATCAATGAATCTCCAAATTTATCAGAATCATGATTTTCCACAGGCAGGTGTCAAAACTACTTCAGCCGGCTTCATCCCTTTATGGGATAATCGTCGTTCATCTAATTCCGATCTCACTCAACCCAAAACCTTAACACGTATGAAAAGATCCAAATCATCTGGATCAACTGTATTCGACCTACGGGACGGGCCCGCCCGTGTCTACTCTGCCATCATTTTTAAATACATCACACTGTCTCTTCTTCTTTCTGTTCCATCATACTATCAGTGGTAAAACAAAATCCGAGAATATAATTGTTCTCTTTTCTGTGAAGAAAAATGTTACAAATATGAAGCAAATACCAATAGAAATATATCTCACGAGAGAACCTCGTCAGTTGATACTTCGACTTTGAATCGAAAGTACCATGGATAGATAGGTACTAATATGTAGTAACACACCCCAGCTTGGCACCTGCCCAATCACCTGTAGTTATCTACTATCTAGAATAGAAATTTCAGACAGAGTTCGCAATGTGACCTATTTTTTTTCCAACTTACTACTGCTTGCTCTGCTCTACGTTAATGTGTATAGACAACGGGCATTTTCTTTTTTCATGCATTTCAGCACGTACAGAAAAGAAAAGAAAATGCGTATTCTTACTGAATATCGCTGAACAGCATTGGAAAAAAATGTATTTGTTATGCCAATTGAGAAACTAACAGGATTTTTTGGATTATCATAACTTTCAGGCTCTTTTCCGGTCGAGATAGTCAAATAGAATGTTGGTGAATTGCCTTTCGAGATCGGAATTTTCTGCAATCTGTATCTTTTCTCAATAGGTACAAAGAATAGACCTCTATCTAGAATAAAAATTTTAGCTCGTTTGCTTTGTTTTAATGGAAAACGTGAAACAAGACGCATTTTCTTTTCTTTTCTGTACGTATTGAAATGCATGAAAACAGAAAATGCCCGTTTAGTACGTGGACAAACAGCATGGACTGCGTCAAAAAGTGATTTTTGGCCACTGGAATTGATTAGATGAAAAGTTCACAGAAATTGACTTTCGAGCTTTTAGTCATAAATCCAAAAGGTCACCTGGGTTCTTCCAGTCAATTCTAAGAAAAAAGCAAAACAGCGCCCTCTATATGAATTTTCTCAGAATTGACTGGAAGAAAATTTTCCATCAGCTGTGATCCGTTTGAAGTCAAACTTTGGTCTTTTATAGAAGTTGACTTGTTGCAAAAAACAAACTTCAAACAACGGAGAAAAAAATTTCTTATTGACCATGAGTCAGTTTTACTATGGTAACTGGAAAACTTCGTAGCTAGCCTCCACAGACGATTGAGCAGCTGTCAAGCTGGAGTGTGTTACTACATATCAGTACCTATCTACCCATGGTACTTTTGATTCAAAATCGAAGTATCACCCGGCGAGGTTCCCTCGTCAGATATATGTATATCTCTATTCGAATGTTAGAGATCTATTCTTTGTGCCTATTGAGAGAAGATTGTCAGCAGAAAATTCCGGTCTCGAAAGACAATTCGACAACATTCTATTTGACAATCTTGACTTCAGTCCTGTATCTAAAAAAATAAATTTGCTCTTTTTTTAAAGAGCTTGGCGTAGAGTACGACTTTTGTATTTCAAACTGGCGTAAAATCCAGAGTTAGATACATTTTAAGTAATTTCTTTTTAATCGGTGAAGTTGATAGAGCAGTTTCATACAGAGAACTATCGTCCTTGCATGAAAATATAAAATTTTTCTTCTAACTTGCCTGCCTTACATATCTAAGACTACAGTTCGTACAGAAGGAAAAAAGGCTAAAACGAAAGAAAAATCACATCAAACAAACGGAAAACCACCATGCTTTGTGGTACCATACGAACTATAATCTCGATATAGATTTCATTAAATCTATCTTTTCAGTAGGTTTACCCTCTTAACAAAATTGTTATACTAAACTAAAAAATTCATCCTTTTCCGAGAAAATGAATAGTCTACAGCTAAAAAATTTACAAAATGGCCATTAACATCGCCGCTGGTGTCACCAAGAAGTTATTGACAACCGTGCACAGAAACTCAGTTTGATTGATGTTCATTAAAGCTACTGCCAATGACTAATATTAGGGATCATCTCTCACTGTCAATAATAACAATTCAGAATAGAACAAAGTGCATGGACTAATCTAAAAACTATGGTTTTTATCTGCTTTTTGCGAGAACACAATGTTTTGCTCAGCCATTTTCTTCGATAACTTTGGCGGTAGCACTTTTTATACCAAATTCACTAGATTATGACCTGTCCTCTATTAAATGGAAATATTTTCAAGACTATTCAGACATTAATCATTCGTTTTAACATTTTTAATGTACATTTCCGAACAAAAAAGAAGCTTAAAGACGGAAGTTTTTCCGCTGGTTCTTGTGATTATACAAGGGTAAATCCTCTTTCAGCTGAAACTGGACCTAGAATCTAGCACCGTAACTCTTGCCAGTGATTCCTGTCTAACAATGCATTTTGGAGAAAAAAATTCCGATCATTATTTTTTTAGAGTCGTTAACCCTGATACTGATAGCGAAATATATGAATGACACCAACACGGGTAGTTAAAACCAAGTATTGAGTTTATTAACTATATCTCGTTTTAAGCTTCATAACCAGTGATTATTAGGAGTAGCAGTTTTTCGCTCTGTCATTGAACGTCACTTCGGTTTACGTTCGATACTTTTCTTTGAATCAAACTGAAACATATCCAGTAGCTAATCACCAAGACGACAAAATAATATATAGGGACTAGAATAGAGGCGAAAGAATTATTCCCTCTTGTATCTCCAAAGACTTGATTGGTTTGGAGGGAGACGGGCAACAATTCAGGGGCTTGGCTGGTATTTCTTTTTTTTATGAGT